TAAAGGAAAAGACTGATATTTGCAATATCTTGTGACCAACCCAAAAATGTACAAGGATGTTTAAGGTAAATGGTGGCACAGTGAGAAGTGTGATCAGTTGTGTGTGGCAGGTTGAGAATGAGGGTCCAGTTTGGCTTCATGGAGCTGAGCTGAATGATGGGTTGGAGTTGGTGGGGTGAAGGGAGAGCATTCCATGGCTGCAGCAGCGTAACGTGGTAGGAAACAGGGACGTTCAGGGTGTGGGGGAGCAGTAGCAAGTGAAATTGGAGAGGCAGGTCAGATCATGGGTGACCTTATGGTGTCTGAATTTCAGAGTGGGGATGACGGGGAGCCATTGGGAGGTTCTGAGCAGGGAAGAGATATGACCAGATTGACATTTAGAAAGATGACTGAGGCAGCAAAGCAGACGGAGGATGGAGTCGTAGGGGCCATGCTGGAGGCTGGGAAGCGGTTAGAAGACCTGTAGTCACAGTGGTTTCCTTTCTATATTCGTTCGCTAGAGTTGCCATAACAAAATACCACCGACCGGGGGGCTTAAGCAACAGAAATTAATTTTCTCATAGTTCTGGAGGCTAAGAGTCCAAGATCAAGGAGTCAGCAGGTTTGGTTTCTCCTGAGGCCTCTCTCCTTGGCTTGCAGATGGCCTTCCCTCTGTGTGTGTGCCTCTCTGGTCTCTCTCTTTTTTTTTTTTTTGAGGAAGATTAGCCCTGAGCTAACATCTGCTGCCAATCATCCTCTTTTTTTGCTGAGTAAGACTGGCCCTGAGCTAACATCCGTGCCCATCTTACTCTACTTTATATGTGGGATGCCCACCACAGCATGGCTTGATAAGTGGCGCGTAGGTCCGCACCAGGAAAACCCTAGGCCACCGAAACAGAACTTGCGAACTTAACCACCATGTGCCACTGGGATGGCCCCTCCCTGGTGTCTCTTTATGTGTCCAAATCTCCTCTTTTTATAAGGACACCAGTAAGATTGGATGATGGCCCACCCTAATGATCTCATTTTAACTTCATCACCTCTTTAAAGGCCCTATCTCATAATGACATTTTAGTCAACAATGGACCTCATATATGACAATGGTCCCATAAGATTAATACCATATAGCCCAGATGTGTAGTAGGCTACACCATCTAGGTTTGTGTAAGTGCACTCTATGATCTTTGCACAATGATGAAATCGCCTAACAATGAATTTCTCAGAACTTATCCCCATCGTTAAGTGATGCATGACTGGATGGTCACATTCTAAAGTACTGGGGATTACAGCTTCAAAATATGAATTGGAGGGAGTGAGGGGACACAATACGGTCCATTAAGACTTTCCATTAATAACATTAACGGAGTGGGGTCTGGAGACCATGGGCTGATAAGATTAAATTGTTTCCGTCTCATCATCAGGAAACTACAGTTAAAAAAAGAAATTCAACTGGGTATATCTGAAAATCGTATTGGCTTTATTCAACAATTCATGAATTGGGCAGCATCTCATCTAACAAATAGAAGGGTGCTCTGAGGAGTTGTATAAAATGGAAGGCTTTTATAGGTAGAAACGAAACGTGCAGGACAGGGAAGTTGTCAGCGAAAGAAAACAAAGGATTATTTCAGGCAAGGTCACCTTCCCTTAGGGGGACTGGCAAGTGGTCTTATCTTACAGATTACTTCACTACTGTTGATCAAGAAATTCCAGACTGAATAGTTTAAACCTCCACTCCTGGGAGAGGCTGAGCCTGCAATCTGGTCAGGTATTAAGCCTTGGTGGGTGTTAACTCAAGTGACTCCATTTGGGCTTGTTGTTTTTTTTTTAACACCAGCAACTCATATAATCTACAGAAGTTATCTGTAAACTGGGCATTGTGATTTCTTAATAAAGACTGCTTTTGGGGCTGGCCTGATGACACAACGGTTAAGTGCACACGTTCTGCTTCTCAGCGGCCCAGGGTTCACTGGTTTGGATCCTGGGTGCAGACATGGCACCGCTTGGCAAGCCATGCTGTGGTAGGCATCCCACGTATAAAGTAGAGGAAGATGGGCACGGATGTTAGCTCAGGGCCAGTCTTCCTCAGCAAAAAGGGGAGGATTGGCAGCAGTTAGCTCAGGGCTAATCTTTCTCAAAAAAAAAAAAAAGACTGCTTTTATCTCTGAGTCCCTGATGCCCGGCTGGGAGACTGAACCAGGTGATGCTGGCGCTGGTTGAATTAATGAAGGATAAATGAATGAATTCATTACCTGCAGTGGTAATACACACTGAACTGTGGCTGCCCTTAGAGTCTAGGAAAAGGAGAGTTGTAGAGTAAGACTGTCTAGTGTTTGACTGGTATAGGAACTCTTGCTTCTATGATCCAAAGGCATCTAATACTAATACTATTTTCATTTCATTTCAAGTTATTGTTACATTTTTATCCTCCACGAATCAGGAGCTCTCTGAGAACTGAGTCTTATACATCTGTTTTTGTATTCTCAGCCCCTAAGCCAGTTCCTGGCACAGAGCACATGCACCGTTAAAGTTTGTGGAACGGATGAGGGAGTTAGATTAAAAAGCTTTAGTGAGCAGAAACTGTAATTTTGCATTCAGGTTTTATAAGTCCTGTTTAGGGTTCAAGATGTATACTTTTTCTCCCCCTTTTTAGTGGGAGTGGCAGTGGTGAACCTTCAAAAATGCTTCCTTGAGAAAACAGCAGCCATCAGCTGAGAGCTCCTTCATCTCACTGCTACATTACAGACTGATGCTGTATCTTTTTCTTCTTCCTTGTTTCAGTAGAGAAAGGGTCTTTTCTTCTAGCAAAGGCCAATAGCTACAAATATTTCCAGCGCCTACCTTCTGGAGAACTTAGACCTTTAGCTATCTACTTCCTCCTCTAACATTAAACATATTCTAATTTCCCATCTTACAAAAGCCTCCCTTGACCCATAGCCCCTTTCAGTTCTCACCCTGTTTCACCTCTTCCCTTCTTAAAGTTCATTGTCTGAACACCTTTTTACTTCCTCATTTCCCCTCCATTCCTTCAATCTCCTCCTGTCTGGCTTTCAACTACAAGATGAAATGGATACTTTTCAGTCTTCCCATACCACACCTTCAGCAGTTGTCTACAATGTTGATCACTTTCACCTTCTTGAAACAGCTTCTCTGGGGTTTTTTGGTTTTGTTTTGTGTTTTCTTTGCCTTTCCTGACTCTACACTCTTCAGATTTTCCTTTTATCTCTTTGGCTTCCCTTTTACAGTCTTCTTTGCTAGTTCCTTCTCTACTCAAGTCTAAAGCATCATCTCTCAAATGTTTGGCATCCTCAATCCACTTAATGAGGATCCTGCATACCCAGGACTGTTAGTTTTAGGGATATTTAAAATAATGATGAGCATTGTTTCATATATAGATAGTCCAGACTTATGATGGTTCAACTGATGATTTTTCAGCTGTATGATGGTGTAAAAGCCATACGCATGCAGTAGAAACTCTACTTAGAATTTTGAATTTTGATCTTTTTCCGGGCTAGCGAATATGCAGGACTAGGCTCTCATGTGATGCTGGGCAGTGGCGGTGAGCTGCGGCTCCCTGTCAGCCACCGGATCACCAGGGTAAACAACCAATACACTTACCACCATTCTGTACCCATACAACCATTCTGTTTTTCACTTTCAGTACAGTATTCAATAAATTACGAGATATTCAACACTATTATAAAAAATGCTTTATGTTAGATGATTTTGCCCAACTGTAGGCCAATCTAAGTGTTCTGAGCATGTTTAAGGTAGTCTAGGCTAAGCTATGATGTTCAGTAGGTTAGGTGCATTAAACACGTTTTCTACGAACAACGTTTTCAATTTACAATGAGTTTATGTCCTGATAAACCTATCATAAGTTGAGGAAGAGTTGTAATGAGATGGCCTTGGTATATGCTACTCTCTCTGTCTTGAATTCTTTTCTGTCCACTTTGTTTGGCTGGATCCTTATCTTTTAGGTCTTAAGTCATTTCCACAGAGAGGCCTCTCTCTTTACTCTTTGACAGAACACTGCTTTTTTCCCTAACCGTCATAATAGCTACGGATTAAATGACTTTAAAATGTGTTGGCCCTGGTCTACGTGCTTTACATTGTATCAATTCATCTAATCTTCACAATAACATCGTACGTGTAGGGCACTATTATTATCGTAAACCGTACTTTACAGATGGGGAAGCGAAGGCAGAGCGGCAGAGCTGAGATCAGCACACGAGGCGACCTGGCTTCCGAGTCCACACCCTTAGCTGTGCTAGAGTACTTATCACAATTTGCATTGACATATTTGATTTTATTTCTTTAGTGATTGTCTCCCTCACTAATCCTCAAGGTCTGGGGGAGCAAGGACTGTGTCTGAACCGTTCAGAACTTAGCTTGAAGAGCTTACCTGGCACATGGTAAGTACTCAGATATTGGTTGAATAAGTTAATCAATAATTTAAAAAAATTCCAGATCAGGAGGCATCAGGTGCAGAACTGAATCCCCATACTCCGTGTGACCTTGTAGAAACCACCTTATCTCTTCCTGCTTGATTTCCCACCCTGTGAATCACAGGAATCGGGGGAAGGGAGGACCAAGCCAGGCGGAAGAGGCGGTGAGCGCAGTGACTGGGAAAATGGTGTCGGCACACGGAATGAGCGCTGATCGTCATTCTCCACTGGAAGATGGCATCGAGTGCACCGCGTGGGACAAAGGGATACACTGTGCTTTTCCCCATTTCGGAGCGGTGTCGAAGCTTCACGCCGTAGGCTCCCATTTCTCCCCGTGAAAGATCTCGGGGAGACGGGCGCTTGGGGGCCAGGCGGGCGGCGTCACCGCGCGGTGTAGCCTCTGGTCCCGCCTGGCGCGGACAGGGGCGGTACCACCCGCCAGGGGCGGAGTCCGGGCCCAGCCTCGGCAGGCCCCGCCCCCGGGCCGGCGGCCGCGGGCCCACCTCGCCTCCCAGGCCTGGGCGTGTCCCCGCGGGCGCACGCGCGCGCGTGGCATGCTGGGAAGGCGCCCGCGCGGCGGCCATTTTGTCTTGTCGGCTCCTCTTTAGAGGAGGGTTTTCGGCCTGCGAGTGGGCCGGAGGGGTTGGCGGCGGTGTCGCCGGCGTTTTCTTTGGCGGGTGCCAGGGCTGGTGGGAGCAGCCGCCCGAGGAAAGCACCATGATTTCGGCCGCGCAATTGCTGGATGAGTTAATGGGCCGAGACCGAAACCTCGCCCCGGACGAGAAGCGCAGCAACGTGCGGTGGGACCACGAGAGCGTAAGTCCCGCGGGCTTTGGGCCTGTGCCCGGGCGCCGTGGGGGAGGGGCGGGGAGGGCGCGGGCTGGGCCGCCGGGCCCGCGGCGCGATTTGGGGCCGCGCCGGGGCCGGGTGTCTGACCCCGTGGCCCGGGGAAGGCGGGAGGCCGCCCGGGAGGGAGGAGTCCGCCCGAATCCAGGGATGAAGGATGGGTGGTGGTTGTGGTTGTTGTTGTTTTAGTATCGAGGAAGCCAAAGGGGGCCTCAGTAGCACCGAGGAGCACCTTCCTGATGCGGGGAAACGCGGGAGAGGCAGGAGTATTTTACTACGTCTGGAGGCTGCAGTGTTTTCACCTCGGGAAATAGGGGAAAGGCCACATTCTTCCGTTATTTGGGTTGAGCGGCGTATTTAAACTGAAATTTGTGGCCAGGATTAGTGGTAAAAAATTGTGGCAGTGTATTATTTCAGGAATAGTTTCGTTTCGACGTTTCGGTGGGGAAATAAGATTTTAAATAGAGGATCCTAACTTGGTAGGGTTTGCCGTGATGGTTTACAAGTATTGTTTGTCTGCAGTACGTTGTAGGAAGCCCTGCGTGGAGAGGGCTGTCCAGGCGTTTTCTTCCAGTAAAACTCATGTGATCCTCTTGACCCTGTGAGTAAGGGTAACTGTTGTAAACCCCGTTTGGGGGCGCTCACCCGGGGTCTCTTGGCAAGTTAAAGGGGCGAGCCTCAACCTAATCTTTGTAGGCCTGTGTACTTTCCCCGCTTCTCTGAAGCCAGGTCTGTGCAAATGACCGTAATGTATTTCGAGTGTTTTGAACATGCAGTGTAACGTTTATTTTAGGTCTCACCTGAAGAACAGGTGCAGAATTTAGTCTTACTTGTTTTGCGCTTGTCACCAAACAACGTGGTCATTTAAAGGCAGTTGCTAATGAAAGTACGAAGGAGTAGGCAAATAGACTTTTTAAAGAAATTGCTTCGTCTCTTTAAACATAGGCTGTGGTTAGAGTGAAATTTCTCTTTTGCAGTGCAGGGAAACACGTTGGTGCTAGATGAGTCCTATCAGTACCTTAAAAAATAACGTGTTTGGCTAAAGCGTTGGGGTGCAACCTGATTGCAAAGTACTATGAAGTGTTAATGGTAGAATTCATTGTGTGGAGTCAAATTCACGCGTTTTGTCATTGACGTCGAGAGTTGAAGCTTTTTAAAAGTTTTTTGTTTTGTTTTTTTTTTTAACCTTTGGGTTTTTTCCCCCACGTGTCAGAAGAGACAGTAACTTTGCTGCATGTCTTGACCGTCTTTCCTTTCTAAGCATTTCTTTGCAACAATGAAGTAAATTTTTCCTTTACCACTTAACTCGGTAGTCTTTCCCTCTAAGCTTTGCAAAAAAAAAAAAAAGTTAAGATCCAGTTGATGTACAGATAGGGTATTTATCTATTTTGTATTAAAGAGAAAATGGCATTTGATTGCCTGCTCATTAACGGCAGCACCTGTTTGTTCTTCCTTGGTTTTGAACACGTGTTGTGAAGAAACTGGTTTCCTGATAGTATTTTATTGCCACATTGCATTATATGTGACGGGTTTATAACATTAGCAGTGAGGCTCTCAGAATAGCAACTTAGGTTTTTATGTCATCTCAGCTGTAATAAATCTGCTTTCCCTTCTGTTTTAGTGCTTCTCACTGATTTAAACTTTTGGTGCTTGTCACCACAATATCTTATGCGTTTAATGACAGATTTCACTTCATTCTAGATTCAGGGATTTGAAAAAGTCAGTTGCTGGTGTTTCAGATTCATGTCTTCGGGGAGAAGGTTGGTGTTGACCAGGAACAAAGTGTATGGCCTCATCTAAGTAAGTCAGGATAAAGCTGGGGAAGCTCTTGCCATCACTTCCGGGTCGTTTACATATTCTAATGCTGTTGGCTATTAGTGGAGAAATGTACAACCCCCCAGCATATAGTGTAAGGATTTCACTATCGCTGTAACCTGATATTTCAAAATATTTTTGCATTCCTATTCTATTTGGAAATTTTTCTTTGGCACACTTGGCACTAAATGGGAAAGGCTATTTCAGCTGGGTGGGGTCCTTTTGTTTAACAGTTGAAATGGAAACTTACCTTAGTGTTAAAAGTAGTTCCAGAGTGTCTGTATCTGACCGACCTGTGGAATTTGTTTTAAATGCAGATTTCTTTACTTCACTCCCTAGAGGGAGTAGGTCAGTCTGGGGGAAGGCCCCGGAAAGCTGCATTTTTAAAAAAATGGCCTCACCACCTTTTAAAGCTTGTGAGCTACTGCTTTCTGATCACGTGATTAGTCCTGGCTTTTTAATTGTGAGAGTTGGGGAACTCGTTTTTAAGTGAAGGATACACCTGTGGTGCAAATTATCGACCTTTTGTTTATTCATAATAAGGCTGTATGTAAATACTCTCAAGGCTCAATGTCCGAAAGTGCTTTATTGGGATTAGTACTTTACAGGCATTTCCAGCTTCTTTGCAGATTGCTACCTCTGGATCTGGAGAAAGTAGTTTTCGGCTAAAGTCAAACCAGCTTTATTACTGCTCAAAGGATTCATTGAGACACCCTTCTGCCTGGGTTATTGTTATTTTACATTTCCTTGAGATTATTACTATTTTTGCATCAAACAGTTGGTTGGTTTGCTCTGCTTTGCTTTGTTAATCCTAAACAACCACAGTCATGAGGAAAGCATATGATTTTTAACTGCCTAGTGTGAGCACCTTTCAGTTAGTGTCCACATGGGAAGATTTCAGTGTTTGCCAGAGAAGGCATTTGGTAGCCTTGTAATTACCTGAATAGTTCACATTGTAGGGAATTGTAAAGTCTGGCCTTGAGCTTTTATTATTATTTATATAAGAGAACAGGAATTTTGTAATTCAAATTGAGGTTTTTACTTTTTCAACCCGAAAGTGAAATTATTTTACTGTTGACTTAACTCTGATTCTAATAATCCTTAAAATGAAGTTTCCTTCATCATTAATCAAATTCAGGTATGCCCTGTTCAGTGAAGGTTTAATAATTTATGAAGGTAATTGAACTAAATGTTATTTTCTAAAATCTTAAGAATGTTAGGAAATACTGTCATTGATGCTGACAGTTGTTTAGAAAAGAAAAAAACAGTTAAGGCTTCTGTCGATGTTTTTACTTGTGAACGTTTTTGTTTTTACATGTAAAAAAGGGATTCAGAGTTTGGGAAGGAAAATTGGAAGCAAAAAATTAATAATTATAGCACATGACATCTATAAATATTTTACTGGTTTTAATTCAGAGCCACCAAAATGTTCTTTCTGTCAGAAGTATAGGCGTTTCCTACCTTACTCTATGGTACATGGTAATTGTCAGCAGTCTGTGTGTTATATGTGCATATGACTGCTGTTTGTTTTTTCACCCCAAAACAAACAAGGTGAATGAATAGTATAATGAACTCTCCTTGTGCCCATACCCCAGTACAACAGTATCAACACATGGCCAATATTATTTCCTGTATATGCTGTAGGGACATTTCCTTAATATTTGATTGCTTTAGGAAAAATGTGTGTTTATGTATGTATATATATCATTAGATTTGATTTCTTCACTACTGCTTGCTAGGGGAGAAAGTAGTTTAAGTTAGTAATACAGTGCTTCATTGTTTTATGAAATATGTTTAATTTTCTCATTTCTTACTTGTAACTTGGGGAAATTCCTGTATTCATTTATTCAACAAAAATGTTTCACTTTTATGGTAGATAGAATAGTATAGATAACAGCACTTAGCCTGAGAGAACCATCAGTCTGGTGGCAGATAGGAAGGAGTAGATGTGCTTTCATAACACAATGTCATAAGTGCCACAGTGGAGAAAAGTGTGGGGTCTTGAAAAGTACACTTGAGAGGGGCTCCTAACTCAGCCTGGGGTACTTGAGAAAGGCCTCTTCAAGTGACCCTTAAATACTGGGACCTAAAGGATTAGTAGGAATTAGCCAGAGGGAGTGGGAGAGAAGACATGTTACTGGAGGCTGGAGAAAAAGTAAGCCTGAGGAATTGTAAGTAGTGTTATTACCTGGAGCCCGTGGTTGCTTTTGTTGGGGAAGGGGGCATGTGGATGGATGGGCAGGAACCTGGTTTTGAATGGTTTTTATAAATCTTGTTAGAAGTTGGGACTAAATTACATTGGGAAACAGTTGAAAGCTTCTAGGCAGGAGAGAGATGTTTACTTTCTGGCTCCTGTGGAAAATTGATTAAAATTTTACCAAAAGTTTGTGTGGGCAAGGAGAGTGAACCATGACTGCAAAGGTATATGTAATATAAAAGGCATGGAAATGAATGATTATAGAAAGTGTGGTCCTGATATAGCTGAAACATAGTATATGTTATGAGGGACTGGCTCTTTTTGTTATAAATTGTTATATTAAAATTTTTTCTTTTGGGGTTTGTCTTTTTTTTGAAACACGAATTCAGTTCTTTTAGCTAAAAAGAAACATTGCTGCTTTTTTTTCCTACTTATTTATTTTTGAGGAAGATTAGCCCTGAGCTAACATCCACTGCCAATCCTCTTCTTTTGGCTGAGGAAGACTGGCCCTGAGCTAACATCCCTGCCCATCTTCCTCCGCTTTTTTTATCTGGGACGCCTACCACAGCATGGCTTGAATAGCTCCGCAGCTGGGATTCAAACCAGCAAAACTTGGGCCCTGAAGCATAACGTGAGAACTTAACGGCTGAGCCGCCTGGCCGGCCCCAGAAACATTACTTCTATCTAGCCTGTTGTAGTCAAAGTTAAACTATTAATGGAAGTGACTAAAGACTACACGTTGAAAGGTATTCTTTTTTTCCCCATCAATAAAGTTTCTGGAAATTCTCGGATTTTAAATGAAAAAATGTACATGACAGCTGAAGTGAAGTTCTTGTCAAGGATCAGATTTACTGTTGCCACCATGATGAATTTAAAATGCCAGTATTTAGATTATCAGAAATAGACATTGAATAAATACATTATGTTTATGACTTGTTTATAAAATGGAACTTGGTGT